ACCGATAGAATTTCCGGTCGACCACTTATATTACCGTTGCTTTCCCAATGGCTATTTTCTGAGCTGATTTTTCTGGGGCTTTTTGGACTTTTGCTTGGGGGTTTGGCTGAGATTTTGAGTGGGTATAAATACCATATTGATGTTCTCTTTCAACCTAACTAAGAGAATTGTTTAAATAAGTTTAAGGGTGTTTTGTGTTTGTTTAAAAGAGTCTTTAAGAGTTTTGTTTGTGAAGCAAATTTCACAAGAGCAAGTGGAGATCATCCTTTGGTGTTTGAGCATTCACTCTTCTCCTACTCTCTTGTCATCTTTAGAGAAGTGTTTCTAAACTCATCTAGCAATTTATTATTTTGATTATAATTTCCATAAGCTAGATTTATATTGAGTTTAGTTTAATCGTTTTATTGATACTCTTTGTTCACACACAATCTATTGAGCTTAGTGTATTTACATTCATAGTATATTTTGGGGTTGTGGGTTTGTGACTAAGAGTTGTGCTTAATTGAGTTCTCACCTTGTTTAGAGAACAATCAAATTGATTTATATTGTGCTTAATTGTGAGGATTCACTTGTAATACACTTGTACACCGAGAGAAGTGTGTGGTGAGAGACGGGGTCGAATCCAAGAGGAGTGGCATCGGTTGACGTGCCTAGGGAGAGGTTGTAACCGAGCACTTGAGGAGGAGGACACGGGCTAGGACCAACACTTAGTGTGTGAGGTGTGATTGCATAGTGAGTGTATTGTGAGGTGTAAATGTTGTTCGGGTGAACGTAGAAAACCCGGTTGAGATAGTGGAGATCTCCTCGAGGTGAGGAGCGGAGACGTAGGTCGTGGGGACCGAACTCCGTAATCATATTGTTTGTTTGTGATTGCATTGGCGCACTTACTTTTATGTTCATATCTTATATCGCCTTTGTATATTGCTTGTTGATTATATTGCCCACTATCTAGTTTAGATTGTTTACCCTTGAATTTATATATCCTTGCACATACATTGCCTATATCTCTTTGTTAGGATATATCTTGTTGTTCATATTGCTTATCCTAGCTCATATACATTGTTGTATTTTATACTTACTAGGATAACTTGTTAATAAGTTTTAATTGGTATTAAATCGGATTAGATTAGCATAAGACCCTAATCACCCCCCCTCTAGGATCTAACATTTGGTATCAGAGCTTGGTGCTCTTTGATTTAAGGACTAACCGCCTTGAGTTAAAGATCCAAGTTATTGTATTTGTGCTAATCTAGTTATGATTACATTTATCTTGCTTGCATATATTCACATATATATAATGAATATAAATGTATTTCGTTTAGGCTATGAATCAAATGTTGCTCCAAAATTCATTAATTTCCCCTATGTACAATGGGCTTCTAGATTTAAACTATTTGTGCAATCTAGAAATATTGACTTATGGGAAGTTATTGATTGTGTTTACATTGTGCCCACATTGGAGAAATCCAAGTGGAGCAATCATGATAAGAAAATGTTTTCAATGAACAAGCGTTTGTTAGAATTTTTGCTCAATGCTTTTGACTCATCCATTTCTAACAAATTTGTTCATTTTGATAGTGCTTACAATTTATGGAAATTCATAGAAGCACATCAAGGCAACTTGGAGGAAATCCAACGTAGTTTGGAGGATTATTCTTCAAGTGAGTGTGGAGCATCATCATGCACACAGCCACTAGGCGATAGCCCTAGTGTGGTAAGCGATTCGGAATCCGATAGTGATATATCCATCAATGAACTCTCTTGTGCATATGATAGATTAATGCATGCCTATACTAAGTTGCATAATAATTTTATAGATTTGATCTCTTGTGCATATGATAGATTAATGCATGCCTATACTAAGTTGCATAATAATTTTATAGATTTGAAAACTAAGCATGTTAATTTGAAATCCGATCATGAGTTGCTAGGTTCCAAATTTGATATCATTGCAAAAGAAAATATTGTGCTTAAAGAAAACAATGACTTATTAAATTTGGAAAATGAAAAATTGACCTCATCCATTTCTAGCTTATCTCATGCTAAGAACAATGCCATATTAGAAGTAGAGAACATTAGAAATGAGTTTAATTCTTTATGTTCTACTTCTAATGCTAATGCATATGTGCCTAATGATGAGTTGAATAATATTAAAAATAGAATATCATCTTTAGATTCAACTCTTAAATTATGCATTGTCAATAATAACAAGCTTATGGACATGTGTGCTAAATCTCATGCTAAAACATCTAAACATCCTATTCATCATGCACACATGTATAGTAAAGTCTACAAATGCACAAATTGTGGTCGTAAAGGCCATCTTGCTAGATTTTGCTATGATGCACAAAAACCCTCTAAGGCTCATGTTAATCCTTCTTGTGCATCACATCAAGCTTCATCATCACATTTTTCACATACACATGCACATACTCATCATGTTCATCATAAGC